AAAGTAGACTGTGTTAATTATAACTCAAGCAAACAAAACGAAAAAAGGAAAGTAATTAGTAACAAATAAGTAAGTAAAACTCACTTTGTCATGACACTTATATTGGAACCCATTGAGCAGTTGTTATTCGGTATATGTCGGCATGAGAGACCCTCGCGTTTCGTTTCCCATCGAATCGATTTCCTCTATGCGCTGTAGATGATCTGCCTGAAGAGTAGTCAAACTGATTGACGACTTCGAGTAAGTACTTGTAGCTCACTGCAACTGATCCTGATCTTTTGCACTTCTTCAATACAATTTGGGCGACCGTAATTTAAAAGTTAGTTTGATGCAGCTCCGAATGCTTTACTGGAGATCAAAAAATACCGATCGCACAATCAATCTCCACCTCAGGGAAAGTGTTCATCACATTTCAATTGGCCTTCGAAGGAAACAAACATGCTTCAGAAGGCTTAAATCAAATGATTAAAGTCAAATCATCGTCATCAAAATAATTTTTTATGGGTAGAGTGCAATAAAATTGATGGCATTTTGAGAAAAAGGGGTCGAAGAATAATGTATATGTAAAGTTTCTAAGAATTTAACTGCCTTTATTGATGACGAATTTCAGTCCTTTGAAAGTAAACTGAATAGATCAGTCTAGTTGAGTAGGTAACTATAGCAGTATTTCAATGATAATAGAAGGACTATAATACATATAATATGATGCAAATAAAAATTAAGGACTAGTAAAAGCAGCAATAAGCCAACAATTTTGGACTAAGAATGGTATTGTCACATCCCCAATCATTTTAGGGAATGAACAATCATTTTTCACAAATATAAATGAAAAATGTCCTAAAATGCGAACCTTTGTAAATTTTTCAAATTCTTCAACCTTTTCTACTTCTATTCCACGGCATATAATGCTTTGATAGGTAACTGTAGTAGTTTCAACGTGCTATTGAAGCCCCTTAACTGTATAAATGAATGATTGAATGAAAGACTAGGAAATAACCACGATGATCTAATACAGGAGCTGAAAACGGCTGTCAGACTTTAGCTAAGTGCTTTCATTCACAACAGAACTACCACCAACACCCTGGGTACTGTTCGAGACATTTACGAGCTCAACATGACAGACCTAGCCAGTGCTGAATCACTATGAAAATGCCTCTGCATCTTCACTTACTCATCCTAATCCTATGATAAAATCGGAGGAAAAAACGGCCCATTTAAGGGATTGGCTTGCAAAGCGCCAAAGACTTCAAACTCTCTCCATGATCACCATAATATTTTCATTGGCCCTATTGTTTTTTTTTCAGCGGAATTTCGCTAAATCCGTAACAAAATAGGTTTCCCTAGAATTCAAAGCTTAATCAGCGTATCGGCGATCAAAACATGCTGTGAAACTTTAAGGGAGCGAACAATACGTTAGGACTACGTAAGAAACAATACTATAATTTTACTTGAAATCTGAACTCTTGTCCATTGATGCCTCAGAATTGTGGCTTCAAAATGTAACCAGTCAGGCTGAAGAATTGTCTGAGACAAACCGAAACCACTGATCCCATAATGGTCCCGTTGCCGCCGTACTGTAATTATTGCGTGGCACGTCCAATTAGAGAATTAATGGGATTGACGTTACAGAGCTCTTTAAATCGACCCTGGCCACTGTATGAAATAGCGCTTAGTTGACTGACATTCGTTTTGAAGCAAAAGGGCTACTGCTTTATCTGCATGGCTAGGTCAGAGTCAAGAGATTACAAAAAAACTTTTTTCCTCTTTCCCCTGAGAAGGAAACTCAAAACCTATCTAGCTTATTTTGCCAAAGCTTAAATCAAGAAAAAATCAGAGGAAATACCTATGAATTTTCCAGCACCCGCAATACCCGAAACTTTTCAAGTTTGAATGTAGCTAGTGAATTTCGGTGTCATATAAAAAAGATAAAAATAAAATCCTTGTCTAAGTCTAGAATATTCACCGTGGAAAAGTTCACAATCCGAAGTAACGTCGAAGCTTTTTCCACCTGGCCCTTCTTCTCTATCACTTCTCTTGCTTTCTCCTAAGAGCCGAGGATGTGCACCACGCATTGCACGTTGATGATGGAACGTGAGGGAGGCTCACCTCTCATGGGAGAATCGTCGTTATGGATCATAACCCACTTATGAAAAGTGGGCAAGGACCTTCAAGCACAGCCAAACAGACATTTTCTTGATCCATTTCTGTCAGCACTATCCTGCAACTGCTCTAGCTAGACTTAATGACTTTGTAATAGTATCCATAGTACGAGGATAAGTCCTCTCAAAGGCCTATTTTCTGAACAAAAGAAAAACGCTTCTCATTAAAGCTCTGTAATTTCATCCGATCAGATCGAAGAAACAAACGATGAACAAAGGCATTTTCTACATTGAGATGAAATCAAGGTAGAAAAATCATTCCAAAAAATAGAGAGGAGAATGAAACTCAACAAAAAGTAACAATCTTAGACTGGACAAACGACTAGTGACTGCAAAATCGCCTTCTAGATCTCTTTTAGCTAAAAATTCACCAGTATGAAATATGACAGCAAAAGCAAAAGCTAGAGCATAAATAACAAACTACGTCTCATCACAGACAAATTCTGAGTAAATACAATAAATACATTCACTTTCTAGTGTATAGGAGCAGTTCTTGCAACAGGGCGAGTAATTCCTTGAGGGTGATCGCGTTCGTGCTCCAATCGAATATGAGCCACCAATGGTTCCATGTCCAGAAATTTCCTTCCACACAGTTTGCATGTGAAATCAGTGCGCTCATCTTTCCTGCAACACAAATGAATAAGAAGAACGAGACACTACGTCAATATTCCGAAGAGGGCGTAGGCCCGACTATTTTGGATGAAACTTCGCTTTGAACAGGCCCTACCGCCTACACCCTTCAATATCACCCCCAAGAACCCTTACGAATTCAGATCTGTAAGCAGAATTTCAAGGACTCTAACCGCTAAAGGGACCTCTTTTCCAGTAATTCGAGGCTTCTTAATCAAAACCTATAAGCTCTTCCTGTTTTTTGTTCCCAACTGTAATAATGTTTCTAAGTTAAAAGGTTCTTGACACTCTGGTGGCAGTGAAATGACGATAATCCGTCAAGTGTGACCTTCACATCTCTTCCTCCTAGTACTCCTTCGCCAGTACTCTGATTGTGAGAGAAGACAAGTTAATGACACAGTATGACTTCTAGCGAAACAAAGTGGCCCGAGCAAAGCACCCATCAATACAAGAAAGGAAGGTTTCGGCTAGACTGATAAAGACCTTCGTTAAAAGTCCTACATCAACTGAAACCCATTCAATTAGGTATAAGGTTTTAATTGCCCCCACTCAATTGATCCAATTTGAAAGCAAAATAACGAAAATGATGATAGCAAAAATCTGCTCGAACACTTTTTGTGATCTAATTCATGCCTATATACTTATTCACACATTCTATTTCTTTTTTACCAGATTCTATTTCAATTCACTGCTCCAAAAAGAAAAGGAAAATATGCAATGTCATTGGATAAAAAAAAA